CGTGCAAGAACTGAAAATCAATTTCCTGTCCTTTTTCAAGGTAAAACAATATGACACAATACATCAAAGGATTCAGTATAACGAGTGTATAGTTCCAGAGAGGAATGCTGTCCTTGAGGAAACATTAGGATCAAGAGTTGAGGTGATTCAAAGGAGATTTATACTCCTGTGCAACAAATCTTAGACTATTCACAAGTGAGCTGAGCACAAATACTGTATTATATGCACACAAATTGAAGCTCACTCTTTTTCTTCCTCTGACCCTACACTCATGCAACATATATCTGGGTGTCGTTTTCTCATTTCTGTAAACGTGCCAGATTTAATAAAATAATGAATTATTTAGTGTTTACAGGAAATTTGCAGTTTTGTGTATCTTTGCAGCATCTTTAAACCAGGCCATTCATAAAAAAATAAGCATTTCTCAATGGACAGTCCATTGATGCCGACACCAGCCTTTCCTTCTCTGTTAAATTACACTGTTGTTGAAGGAGCACATAACTGAGTAAAACTGATAATGTGATCTTGTGAATATGTTCTCCCTGTATTCTATCATGACTGTGACCATCATGATCTTTTATAGAAGACATTTGTTGTTTTGATGTTTCAATGAAAAAATATATTAAATGGCACACTGTAAATGAAAAGTAAAGATTAAATTAAAAACGTTCCTCTTGAACTATTTGGAATAATTGGGCCAAGTTGGAATTCAGAGCACATACGTGGGGAGATGAATTAGGCAGCTGAGTGGCTGGGTGTTTAAAAATTAAAGTGGGACTAATGTTGTTGTACAACAATCCTACACAGACAGAAGGGCATCACATGATAGGCAGAGAATCACTGCTCTGTTCTTTTATTAATGGGATTTAATTTTCTCATTCTGTGTTTGCGCAGCACCTCTTCAATCACTAATAAAATCAACACCGCACTGCAGAAATACCCTAAGGACAAGGGTGTTGACAAATGTGCTGTTAACAAGAATTGCTGTCAGATTGAGGGGATAGCTTTTCTTAATCCTCTCAGATGAGCTGGGGTGAAATAAGAATTTGATTTTTGCTTTTAATCAAAGCTTCTGTGACATGGAGTGACAATTTAACAAAGCATGCTCAAAATATTTTAACATAAATACTGGTGTTTATTTGTTCAGAAATGTTCTTTCAAATGTTTTGTGCAACTTGAAGCTCATGCTTAATATCACTCTAGAAATTAGACGTTAGAAATGAATTAGTTTGTGTGGTTAGCAACTAAGTGTGTGCATGACCATGAAATATTATATTGTTATAAAAGCTATGGAACTAAGTCTTGATTACTGACTGAAAAAAGCAAGCAACTGCCCCAGGGCTCCAGAGAAAAGCCCCATAGTCACTGTTTGTTAATTGATTTGTGGGATTGTACCCCACAAACGCATACAAAGATAAGAGCATTAAGGGTCTTGCATTATGGCTTAATATACATGCTTAATCTTGCATGGTGCCCTGTGTCAGAACCTATATTACCGCCTTTTTCATTTGAATTCATATTGTGTTTGATATTGTTCCATATTCATAAATAAATGTGTACTGACATACAGCAAACCTTAAGTCGGACACTATTCCAACTAAGAAGTACTGGTTGGTTTCTGGGCCTCTAGACAAGATTATTAACCTGCTACATATACAAAACCCCAAGAGAGGGAGGAGGGCAGTCAACAGGAGTCCACAGCTAATTTTTGCCCCAGGGCCCCCTAGTGGGTTAATCCGGCCATGCTGGGGACAGAATTATTTTCTGCAAATCAGTTAGAATCAGCTAGATAGACTTAAATGAACAGTTGTGTATCCAGGCATTTTTAGAAGCCGAGTTAAACTCTATTGTCATAACACCATTAACTCTCAGGGGTCTTCATTATGCAGAACATGGATTCTAAAATAACAGTGCTTACTGGGAATTTTGATCATTAGAAGATACATTTTGTACAGAGATTTTTTGTTTAACGGTGTTGCACCCTGCTTATGCAAAGAGTTAAGTCTAAAAAGAGCACATCCAGCAGAGTCAGACCATATTTTCTGGCCTGGCATAGGCAGAATTTAACATTTGTATGCCTGACATCATTGCTGATCTTCCTTGACAAACCACTGGAATCAAACCAGGATCTTACACACTTTGTTATTTTCACTCTCAGCTGCAGAGGAACACTTTTGTGATTACCCATACCAGCACAATTTGTAGCTTCAGCGCGTGCATCTTGTAAACATTGCTGGGCAATCCACAGAAAACGGTTCAGGGTTACTCTCTCTCCAATAACAACTGCCTCTGGCCAACAGCCAAATAGCCCGCAATGAAAACTCAGCATGCAAAGCTCATAAAATCATAATGAAATAAAAAAAATAAGCGCCATGTAGAGAAAAACTGTTTAGCATTTATGTGTTACCTGTAACAGTTCCCCTATCCCCAGACAGCAGCCCGAGACAGAAGAGAAAATACTATGTTTGCTTTTCTTTAAATTAGACCTGACCTATATTTTGCTAAACCAATTTTTTCGTGTGTGGCCAACCACATACACAGAAATTATTTCCACACAGTACTCAGCCCTCAGCAGCTTAGTATGTATTATAAATAGAACTCAATAGAACTGTATTTATCTTTTTTTCATAAACCTTGCTGGTATATACGCTACTGCATAGGGATGGACTGAGCTAGAGTATAGAGTATATATATTTTGCTCATACCATTATTACGGGAACTATTAAACGTCAGGGGTAATCAAATAATAACTCTAAATTTAAAGTAAATATGTTATGTTAAAGTCAACACCTGAGAGGTGTTAACAATAAAAGGTGAAAGACGCCTGTAGGGCAGGACATGGAGGACTGGCTGACTCACAGGGAAGTCAAGGTAGCAGAAGGACTTTGAGCCCTATTATACTACAATACAGTCAAGTCTATATTTTATATTACACCATGCTTTGGCTGTAATTCAAAGAACTGCCTCTCTCAGAATGCACTTTGATCTGAGTCCATATCTAAAAGGTTCATATATTTTTTCAGAGGTGCACTACTATGAGTGCATGTAAGCTAATAGACCTATCAACATGCACTTTACTACCATTCATGTCAGGCTGTTTGATCAATACTTATCCAAGTGTCCTCTGGGACAGGAAGTGGTAGTAGAAGGTTGCACGACACCCTTGGCGTTAACCTTTCTCTAAGGCCTAATGGTGGCCTAACAACACTTGCATCTCTATTTAATTGTCCCTCATTAGTGTTACACAGGCTCTGACTCGGCAGAGGTAGAGTTGACTTTTTCAAACAGGGATGGGATTATTTAGAAGCAGGCAACATGTTAATGCCACATAGTTTTCATCAAAAGCTCCTGAGGTGAAAGAGACCTCATACAGCTAAATCGATTAGCTGTACATGTAAGGCAGCAAACTGGGCAGCCCATGAAAGGCAAATTCAAAGTGTTCTATATAAGACAGAAAGGCATTAAGTAAATATATAGAAGAAATACAAATAGGATTTTTGTGAAGGATCTGAGAGCTGGGGGTATCGTATATGCGGAAGATGTTGACTGCTCATTAATTAACAATTAAAAAGCGTAGTACAAAAAAGCTGTTGGTGAAAAAAAAAACAAATGAGACCACACCCATCATAAATCATTGTCAGTGCAAACACCTTTTTCTCCTTCGTCATTTCTCTTTGTTACTTTAATTGTTTTTCCTTGTGCCTCCTTGTCTCTCAGTTATTCAAATACACTTCCCCTATCTATTACTTAAAGTTATAGCCTTCTTGCTATTTAATCCGCTTTTTATGGGCATTTATCTCTGACAGCTCTCTTAAATGAGAATCTTATTCCTGATAAATAAAAACTCCCCACTTTATTTACAAACTCACCAGGCCACAATTACTCAGGTCAAGGCTCATTAATCATTCAAAGCAGCACCTTACTCTCTGTGGGAGTTGTCTTCATTTCCAAGATATGTTTTGGCATGTTCAAGGGAAGAGTTTGAAGATTTTCAATCAGCTATGGGGCCCATTTTCATCTGGTCATATCCAGTTGCACAGTCACACCCATATCTTCAAAAGTCCATCACTGAATTAAATTTCCCTCCCAAAGCAACAGAATGTGCTTATCTCTCTGACTATTAAGGAGCCTTGTGAGAGCTGAGCACTAACACAGTCAGAGGCTGACTCTCTCACTCTCCCTCACTCAATTCCCAGCTTTCTGCTTTGCTAATGAATTCGCTTGAGATGCTAACTTTTTACCTGTTACATTTCGTGATTAACGTTCTGCCAGATTTCCTGCCCGTGGTTGTGCACTTAGTGTGTGCCATTTTCATCTGGCAAACTTTGGTTACTTGTTTTGCTGCAGCCCACACAGACAGCTTGAGACTAAAGCTTGTTCTGTGCCTGACTTTAACGGAGTTAAGAGGGGAGAGAAAGCACAAACACATTGTTGTGTAAGAGCAGTGACACAAAGTCCAGATAGATTTAAAGATTCATCAATCCTGCTGGTACCTCTCTGTACATTTTTCTCTTGTCTCTCCACTTGTCTGACTCTTTGAGGCACTCAAGTGTCTTGGCAGATTTGCACCCTACATGATGTCCACAAACTGCAGGCATCATGGAGAGATAAGATTCAAGAATCCTGATTTATTTTATTGTCCTTCAGGGGAAGCAAGTCATTGTCAAGCAACTCCTCTGTGAATTTAAAATCCCTGAAGCCTGTAAAGGGAGGCTGCGTTATGCTGTTGTTCAGTGAGCAGTAGCCTGAAAATAGATCAGAAAATTCCCCAGGTAAGTCGGAGGTTATATGCACCGCAAAGTCTTAGGCTCAGCATGAAAGTCAATGTGTCAGCCAAAGAGATGTGAATCATGCAT